CATGGATATTACCTACTCACTCGCACTCACTAACTCACTCACACACACATACACTTCCAGCCACTAGCAATTTTTGTCTCTTTAAATTATTAAATCGTTTGCCGCTGCCCCTGCTCCCCTCAAACAGACACCTTCCTGCTGATGATTCTGCTTTTGCACATTCACTACATTTCTGCTTCTGTTTTTGCTTGCTTTTTTTGTTTTACTTTTTCCTTTGCATACGCGCGTACGTGTGCGAGCGCGAGTGTCACGCTGTTGCTGGTGTATGCGTGTGCCTGTGTATGTTGGGTCTGCGCGTCTGGTTGAATATTTTACGGCTTTGCTTTTGGCAGAGTATTCTCCGCGGTGCTAGGTGTTTTCTCGTGCATACTTTAAATGAGGTAAATTGCCTTTTATTGCACATTGTGCTAAATTTTTCGCCGCTCGCCTCGCTCGAGTTTAAACAAACGCACACGCATACACACAAAAACCAGCCACACACACATACAACACACTCAAACACAGCGCCGTACACGTACACAGATTATCCAATCGATTTTTTTACACTCATTTCCTTTCTGCTTTTGTTTGACTTTGCTTCGTCTTCTTTGGGGAAATAAAATAAATTTACCTTTTCGCAATATTATTTACTACGTTGCTAGCGATTTATAAACACATTTAGAAATATTGCATTGAATTTCCCGATTCTAACACTCGGCTGTACCCGTATATATTTTACTTTTCTCTTTCGTTTTTAGCTTACATTAAAAATACCCGTATTGCCGCCGAACCGATTGTTTTTTATTTTTCACACTCTTTCTGCTCTCTCGGCCTGGCTCTCCAAAGAAATACGTTATCCAAAATTGTGCTTTTCCAAGTTTTATTTGTTATCGGAGCGCGCGCAGAACCACGCGATAAGAATTGTGAATGGTACTATTGTGACTTGGCCATTTTTACCATTGTGACTTGCTCACTTTTACTATTGTGAATGGGCAATCTGTTGTTTTTGGGAAATTGCCCAATGGGAAGGGACATTTTCGACCCACAATATACCTGCGAAATATCCAGTCTCGTGCTCGTATGTCGTACGCAACTATGAGTAAACGCACTCAAAAGTCGGTATATCAGGTATTTAAAGTATTAAAAGTATTTATTATTGATGTACCAATTTCTTGTTTTGTCAGGGAATTCTCATCTGTTGTTAACCGAGCAGGGAATTTCTCTCCCCTCCTCGAGAAAGAGACTTAATACTGCTTTGCTATTGTGACTTGCCAATATAATGGAAATTGGTACTATTGTGAATTTGCACTTTTTTGGGAAATTTAAAATTTGTAGGGAAATTTTAGACCCGAAAAATATAAATCTGAAACATCCCGTCTCATGCTCAAATGTAGAACTCAATTGTGAGTAATACGTCCTGCTACTGGCAGTGTTCCCATGTAACATTTTCGAGCCGAAATACACCTCTGAAATTAAAAAATTCCCTGCGAGCGCGGTACCGCCGACTTCGGCCATCTAGCAGAGTTGCGTAAGAATCGTTTTCACTGCTTATCGCACAAAGGAAAATAAATAAGTTAGCACAATCCCATAAACTCAATTATATTGTAAAAATAAATTAACTCCAAATAACTCCAAACTCCAAAATGTAATTTCTTTTGATCTTTTCTTGAGCGCGCTATTTACTAAGATGTTGATATGTAGAAAATGTGAGGTAATTAGTTTGTTTGCCTGCAATAAAAAAGGCGTATTTATAATAAACCAAATTAATTCTTCAATTGGATTATATTATTGTTTAATTGTTAAACGTTTTTTCAAGCTAGTAATACTAAATAAAATAGAGGAAATTGATTTAAGAATGGGGTATATTAACGGTATATTTTTTAAATGAGAAGGTATATTTTGGTATATTTTTGGGGGTCTGACGGTATATTTCATCGATTCTTCCGCTGTCACACTGTCCCTTAGCAGTCTTACCAATTTAGCTATTTTCCCCATGAGATCTTCCGTTTTTCCCTAGCCGATTCTGGGAAATGATTTTGAAATTATAGCAGATTCTCTCAAATTAGAAAGCGCAAAAATGTAGAATTGTACAGAAATTAGAACCGACCATTTTAATGCATTTTAATTTCTGGAAGATATTCTGTGCAATACTAAGTCCTATAAATTATAAATGTTCAGAAATTAGAAACACTCAGGAACAAAGAAGGTCTTATTTGCGAAATTCTGTTGTTTTAACGTTTCAACAATTTCGCGTTATTTTTCCTCCATCAAAATGATCTGGCTATTTCTCGTCGTTTTAATCTAGCTTTTATTTAGTTTAGCTTTTTTATGACTCGAAGAGCTGGTAACACTGTCCCAATGCACGTGCTTTGTTTTGAGCGCTTACTTACTTTATTTACCGCCCGCCATTGCCCTCAGTGAAGCAACAAGCCGAGAGGTTGCATTTAATTTTGAAACTATTCCAACAAGTAACAAAGAAAAACTTTAAAATGGTAAGAATCATCAATCTAAACATTGGTAAAGGGAAAAATCAACAAATAACCTTTCCCCACAGACCGAGGAAGTGAACCCGAAAGCATTCCCCCTGGCGGATGCCCAGTTGACGGCCAAGATAATGAATCTGCTGCAGCAGGCACTCAACTACAACCAGCTGCGCAAGGGCGCCAACGAGGCCACCAAGACGCTGAACCGTGGTCTGGCTGACATTGTGGTGCTGGCCGGCGACACGGAGCCGATTGAGATTCTGCTCCACTTGCCGCTGCTGTGCGAGGACAAGAACGTGCCGTATGTGTTCGTGCGCTCCAAGCAGGCGCTGGGCCGCGCCTGTGGCGTCTCCCGGCCCATCGTGGCCTGCTCGGTGACTACCAACGAGGGCAGCCAGCTGAAGTCGCAGATTACGTCCATTCAGCAGGAGATTGAAAGGCTGTTAGTTTAGGTTTAAGTGATTGGTTTAAGCAACCATGCGTACAAAGTCGTAACATAAATAAAATGCGTGTATTTTTCTAAATACAACAAAAAGGAATTTTTCGGCACATGTCTGGCATTCAAGTATTACCGTATGAAACCGGAAATTCGGATTTTGAGAAAATACCATATAAATACCGCCACAACGGTGGGTCAGCTGATTCGGCTCGTTCCGTGTGAATGCCACTTGTCCGCCGAAACTTCGGGTCGACTGTGTGTGTAATTTTGGGGATATTGGTTGATCAAATGACAAAAATGCATCGCTATTCACGTGGACCGAGGGAACATACAGCTAGATTCAAGTGACAAGCAGCTCCCCGCAGCTGCAGAAGCAGCAAACGCAAAGCACGCAGTGCCTACAACAAAAAGAAAAGTAAACCCTCCCTGACGCCGGGATTCGGGAATCCGCAGGATTCGTGGGGCGTAACGATATGAAACTGCTAGGCAAATACGTGGACAAGGGCATGCAGGGGTGAGTACTCCCATTCCCCCACAGAAATTATTAATTAATTGCTTTTCTTGCAGCAATGTGACCCTCATGCCCGAGGAGTCGGAGGACATGTGGCACGCGTACAACCTAATAGCGGAGGGCGACAGCGTGCGCAGCACCACCATAAGAAAGGTGCAGAACGAGACGGCCACCGGCTCCTCCACCAGCAGTCGGGTGCGCACCACCCTCACCATTGCCGTGGAAACGATCGACTTCGACACGCAGGCCTGCGTGCTGCGTCTGAAGGGGCGCAACATCGAGGAGAATCCCTACGTTAAGATGGGTGCCTACCACACGCTCGACCTCGAGCTGAACCGCAAGTTTGAGCTGCGTAAGCCCGAGTGGGACACCATCGCTCTGGAGCGCATCGAGATGGCCTGCGATCCCACCCAGTCGGCCGATGTGGCCGCCGTTGTCATGCAGGAGGGCCTGGCCCATGTCTGCCTCATCACCGCCAGCATGACACTGGTGCGCAGCAAAATCGAAGTCTCCATACCACGCAAGCGAAAGGGCAGCGTCCAGCAGCACGAGAAGGGCCTGGCCAAGTTCTACGAGCAGGTGATGCAGAGCATCCTTCGCCATGTCAACTTTGATGTCGTCAAGTGTGTGCTTATCGCCTCGCCTGGCTTTGTGCGCGATCAGTTCCACGACTACATGTTCCAGCAGGCCGTCAAAATGGACAACAAGCTGTTGCTGGACAACAAAAGCAAATTCATGCTCGTCCATGCCTCCTCAGGGTTCAAGCATTCCCTAAAGGGTAAGCTACAATCTCTGCCGCTTCGGATTGTCATTGTCATTAATTTCCCATTCCCCAATTGCAGAGGTTCTCCAGGATCCCGCTGTGGTGGCCAAAATGTCCGATACAAAAGCCGCTGGCGAGGTCAAGGCTTTGGAACAGTTTTATATGATGCTGCAGTGCGAGCCGGCCAAGGCTTTCTATGGCAAGAAGCATGTACTACGCGCAGCCGAATCCCAGGCCATTGAAATGCTGCTCATATCCGACAATCTGTTTAGGTGAGTCCCAGTCATCGGATTTCCCTTCTCAAGGGTAATTCCAAGCGGAAGCACAACCCAGACAAGACACATCAAGCCCAATCAAGCGGAGAGATCAAGAGCACAGAGAGAGAGAAGGAGAAAGAACCTTCAACTTTAGCCAATTACCAGCGACAAGCGCGAGACGACAATTTAAATGTTTGAGGGAGACTTGCATGAGTACATGAGAGAGAGTAACAATTTTCCACCACGATGATGATACCCAGTTTGATCTTCCGCCTGCGTAGATTGTAGATTGATCTCTAATCTATTCGCAGGTTTTATCCATTTAAAGAAAGCACGTCCCAGAGAAACAATTTGTGTGTTTGGCCCCATGGCGACGTGCTCATGATCAAGGCCGTGCGTCGTGCCTCGTCGTTCTCTGCCATTTTTGGGTGTATGCTTTGTGCCTCTCTTCGCACTGATCTCCTAGCTAGCTTGCTTTTGTTTACCATTTTGTACGAATTTAATGGACCATTGAAATTCCAGCAACGAAAGATCCAAAACTGCCTCGCAATTAAACTAAAATGAAGTGTTTATCGGGCTCTCTGGTTCTTCTTTACTTAATGTTTAATGTACTTAAAATTCTAGGCAAAAAGGTGTGTTTATTGTAGCACTTTTAATCAGTCAGCTTTGAATTAGTCGCTCCCACCATACCATCCGTATCTTCCGTCAGAAATTGTTCAAATCGCAAGTTGTCGTCGTCGTCGCTGTGGTTGTGGCTGTGGCTGTGGCTGTCTCCCCTTTATCTCGACATTTTTGATTGCTGTTGATTGTTTCGCAATTGTGGAACAAAAGAGAAAAGACAGAGAGTTTACGTTAGATGAAAACGCGCATTTTCGCATTGCAAAGTGTCATTTGATTTACCGCCTGCGTTGCTGTTCGTTCCACTGATTCTTGTGTTGCTTCTGGCGGGAAAGGTCATCCTGCTCCTCCTCTTGCCTCATCAATAATCGTTGGAAGTAATCGTTGAGTGTCTCCCGCATGGGCAGCAGGCGGCTGGGCGATGTTGGAGGCGTCCCGAAACAGGCCATCGAGAGCTTTCTTCTGTCCGCCTTCATGTGTGGATCGCATGGCCAGGGATGGCCCAGATCGGAGATGGTGTAGTCGGGCTGTCGGTTGAGCATCTTCATGGGTGTTAAGTGGCCGGCACTTGAGTAGGAACTTGAGTGGAGATTGAGATACATATACATTCTGTTCGAGTTATTTAACGACGGAGCTGGAGCTAAAGTTGCTTGGAAGTTGTGCGTTCACTTTGGTGCCTAAACATTCCCTGCTCTCCTAATCCGCCGCTCCTCACGGCCAGTCCCCAGTCCCCGAGCTCTCGATTTGCGTTTGATCTGTTTTTCGCTTTTTGGGTCTTGTCTCTGTTTATAGAGCTGTTTTCGCCAGACGAGTTTGGAGCACAGGCAAAAAAAACTGAACTAAACTTTGATGTAAATCGGATACGTGTGTGTATACTGCGTTTCTATCTTTGCTCTCTGAAAGCATTTCTTTATATAGGTTTTCTCGCTTAAAGTATCGCTAATTACTAACAGCACCCAATATCAACATTCGTGGGCGACCACTCGAGCGAGGGAGCAGGCAAACAGCAAAAGAGCAAACCTTTTTTAATTTATTTAATCGCTCCGTTTATGGATCAGCAGCACTCTCGCTCCCACTTCTGCTTCCCATTGGAAACGCTCTCAATGGGTTCCACAAGCCACATTTGAACGTACATATGATCCACTTGCAAAGTTATGCTAGTTCTGCATCCATTAACCGATTTCCCTCACACTCTGGGGCATCGACTACTAGTTCTCTTGCTGTGCACTTTTATAAATTATTACCAGTTTTTCTAGTCTTCTAGTCCCTCTTTGTCTTACAAGCAACCTCGTCGTGTCTTTTGCATCCAAAACGTGCCCCCCTTTTCGATGTATTTTTCCGTTTTTCTGTTGTCGCAGCTGGCGGCGCATGTTAATGTTGTCTTGAAAGACAATTGTTTATAATTTTACATATAAGGGAAACAGACCCAACACGAGCATTGGGCAAGAAGTGAAAGGGCTTGCCGTATATATCAGATGTTGATACCCTTAATGGATTGAATACGATATCCATGAATCACTGAATCTTAGGGCCATTCCCAAAGCTCTGCTTCGAGAGTGTTTTGTATCACTGGGGTTGGGTTTTATTTGGTTAGCGAAATCAATGAGTTGTCCCCGAGACATGCATAAAATTGTTTCGCAAGTCGAAAAATCAAAAGAGAAGAAGAGCGCGAAGGTGCGCTCACCTTATTCGAGTGCTTTCACTGTTTATTCCCATTTCTAATTTCTTTGTCAGCGTTTTTGGAGCGTATCACAAGGTTCGTGCAAGAGGCAAGAGGAGGTTCAGTTCAGTTCAGTCAAGTTCAGTTTCCACCGCACCTCGTCGCCGCCGGCAAACGGCCTCACATTTAATTAGACATTTTTACGGGCATTTACTGATATTCGCACTCGCATTCGTATCTTGTGTCGCACATTCCCTCGCATTCCCTATGCCCGGTACTGCTTTCTGGCTGGCCATGTCATGGCTCTTTCGGCTAGACGTGGCGGGACCTCGTGCCTGGGACTGGAAGTGGGAACGAGAACGGGGCCCACGGTGCACGCTAATTCCATTATAACAATTGATTCCATTGTGCAATCATTGTCACGCAGTGGAAAACAGCAACAATTATTGCATCTACAACAATGGGCTCTCTCCTGCTCATCGCAGCTTGCGGTTAACGGATGAATACAACAAAAATCAGATACAGATACAGGTAGCTCAGATATACACAATAATTGCTGCTGCATTTCTTTCCGCTGAGTCAACAGATGGAACCCTAGCTTCCTCCATGAACACAACAAATCCTCAACAACTTTCACTCGTTCAAAAAACACACCTATAGTTTTTATGCGTGATTTGTGCAGTATTTCTGCTTTCGGCTGCAGTTTGCAGATAGATGGACGGACAGATTGGGAGACCCGTTTCTGTGGCAGCAGCAGCAGCAGCAGCAGCAGCAGCAGCAGCAGCAGCTGTAACGCGGGTCTTAGCACCAATTTTTCTTTACGCGTGGCAGGTCTTCGAGCCGTCTTCGTACACGTTCTTCGATGCGTCCCCCAAGAAAGCCGCTTTGCAACTAATCGCCGAGGCAGTGCCTCAGCTCGGTCTCTCTCCCTCTCTGTCACTCTTGCTGGCACTGCACGTGCTGTGGAACGTAAATGGGTTCCACATGGTGAGAGCTGCGCTCCCCCACTGGTCACCGATCGAATGAAATTGCGCTCTCTGCACCGCGCTCACTCTCTCGCTCGCTCGTTGCAAACAGAGAAGCGGTTTTAATTAAAATTTCGATTGGGATTGTGACTGGGATTCCTTTGCTTCATTGTTCTTACTTTCGTACGCGTTACCTGTTAATGATAATGCTGGTTAATGGTTTATCATTAACATAATAATTTCTCAGGGGTTCTTGAACTGTCGCTTGTGGATGCATTGCTCTGGAAAGCACCGTTCCATAGGGGAGACACAATTTCCAGTTAAACTTGACACCTTATCCACTGTGCATTCCTATGCTCATCACGTGCCATCATGCTTATTAACGATCCAACCGATGTTGGAATGTCAAATTCAATAGATATCACGATCCATAGAAGTCTAACTGATTCATTTGACAAATATGTGTAACAAATTGTTCCTTTCTTTAATTTCAGATGTCAGGATGTTAATCTCAGGAAGGAGTATGTCACACTGGTGGAGTCTGTACGCGATGCTGGTGGCGAGGTGAAAATCTTCTCCAGCATGCACATCTCAGGAGAACGTGAGTATCAGAGACAACGAAAGAGAGCGAGTGACTCACTTTGAAGCAGCTGAAGAGTGAAGAAACTTCTATGAAGTGGGGGACTCGGTAGAGCACTTCTTTGTGTGTGAATAGGTTCTTCTTTCCACAGTCTCACTTCAGTCATTCCTATGCTTTTGCTGAATTTTAATAATCGTGTGCAGGGGCCTGGCCTGGCCTCCCCCTGTCTGTCTAATGACCTCGTTAAATATTCTATTTTTACATCCCTCATTGCACTGCGCCACAAACAACATTTGTGTACGCGTAAATGTTGTAGATGTATTTTTTGGAGGGGTCTCCCGCATTAAAAAGTCCAAAATGACAAAATGTTTGCCTTGCCCCCTTCGGAAGGGACTTTCGATTTCGTTTGCATTTCAATTTGTAATTTAGAAAGCATTAATTGCACATATTTGTGTGTCTTTAAATAGTCATTTCATTCGACAAATGACTCACGTGTTGGCAACACTTTCCGTTTCGACGCGAAAATGGGTCGTTGCAGGTTCCGAAATAGATCCAGATCCCATCCCTACCGAAAACATTGTCCTAATGCTCGTCTATCCACACTTGTAAGTGGATTTCTCAAGTACTTCCCGTTCCCCTTACGATATCTTTTGCTCAAGTTGCTCAATGAGCAACTGTTTCCCGCTGGGCAGTTTAATCAGCTTGGAATTACATCAACGTATAAACATTGAAGTGGAATTTAAGAGATAACGACCGGGGCCTGGCAACCCACAAAAATGATTCGAGTAAACAATGTATTATCGTGTGGAACCTGCATTAATCCAGCGATAATTGGGCAGGCAAAGAGAGAACAGAGCGAGAGAACCTTTTGGCCAAGTTCAGAGATTGAGTCACAGCTGAGACACTGACAACCGGAGAGCCTTGAAACGGGAACCGCCCACGTACCCAGGCAGTCCATTAAGTGGAAAAGTTGCATTTGACTATGTCATGGGTCTAGCATGCAATTGACTTGAAATTCTATATACGTAGTGTCCAACAACATAGAGAGAGAGATCTCACCATTCTGCTGGTTGTTGTTTTTTTAAATTTAGTTTTATTTAGCGCTGAATCCGTACTTGCAATCTAGTACTTTAACAACCCAATTAAGATATTACAAAAGGACCAAACCCCAGGCTATACGCTGCAGGGACAATCAATGCGGAAATGGGTATTTATCATTCGTTAAAAGTATTGGCAAAGCCCTCAGAGGTCGTACAGGTAATAAACGAGCGACTGCGGTGTCTTGTCAGCCTGTCACTGTACCGGCTTGGATGTCTTCCAATTCACTGCTCCACTGCAGCTTAAGATCCCAGTGTAGGGTGTAGCCTCACATACCACGGGCAGTTTTTTACTTGTCTCGATGTTCGATTTTGAAGCACCTTTATGTGTTAGCAGATATTCCCCGGATCTGCACACCGTACAGCCAGACAGTACGTTCATTGTTCCTCTTCTGTTTATAAGCCACCGCAATTGCTGCATCCTTTGCCCACACTTTCTGGCCGTGGCTTTCAAATGTGGGCCAAAAGTAAGACGATTGTCTGGTATGAAGCACAGATACTTGGCCTTCTTTGGTTGGTGTAGGTTAACTCCTCTACTATCTTCTCAACTCTGGCTGGTTTCATAGGCAAGGACATTTATAGAGGGGTTTTGAAGCCTTGAAGCCATCCCAACGGCTGTATCTGCTATTATCTCTAATCTTTCATGCTATGAATCCTTTTTTTCTTTCTTCTCCACAGAACTGGCTCAACTAACTGGTGTGGCTGCTCTACTGCGTTTCCCTATGCCCGAATTGGAGGACAGCGATGATGACGATGATGAGGATGGTGCGGCAGGCGGAGATGATAGCGATAGCGACTAGCAGGAATAGAGATAGAGAAAGGATACAGTAGAGTAGCGTATGAAATGGAAGCTGGAAATGGCGTGGAGTTTTGGGCATTTGTTAAACGAAAAATTTGACATAGCGATCGGATTATACACGTAGATTAATAGATATATGAACTACAGACAGACTGCAGACTGCGTCAGGGCTTATACAATACACTATTATACAAGTACGATACGATACGGATACGATATACAAACTATTGCTTTAGGTCTTAACCCCCACCCCTGCATGGCTGGGCCCGGAGAATCAATTGTGTTCTGTTCTCAAAGAAGGGTGCTGGAGAAAATGAAGTCCAGCCACCACTTAATATTATTGCTAACAGATTGCTAAAACTAATTTCGAGTTGTTGTTGTACAATACTTTAACCAAATTACAAAGTTTAGCTCAGTTTTTTTGGTCCGCGTGTAAAACGATTGTTCATAATTTTGTAAAGTGCAAAACAAAGATTATATATACATAAAAGTACTTGGGATCCGTTGGATTTTGATTGACATTATCATTGTTTATTGTTTTTAGTACCTAGATCAAGACTCGAACACAGCATTCCACCCGCTCACTTCACCATTTTGGCTGCACGGGCAGCGGCCTCGGCCGCCAGTTTGCGGGCCTCGCGTTTCGCCGTCTTTTTAGCCTCCTTGCTGTCGGCGTCAATGTTGCGGCGCTTCTTTCGCAGCAGCCATTCCTCCTTCTCCTTGGTCTGCTTCTCGCGGATCAGTTTGCGGAAGAGGTTGCGGTGGCGCGGCTTGACCATGCGGGCCTGCAGGCGGTGCTCATCCACCTCGGCTTTGTGCACCTGCCGCTTGTTCACTTTGTGAACTTTGCCCGACTGCACGGACATCTTTTCCTTCTCCTGCAGCTTGCGCTTGGTCGCCTCATCGACATCCTCATCATCATCTTCCTCCTCGTCGTCTTCTTCATCGTCATCCTCTTCGCTGAAATCTTCTTCGTCCTCGTTGACGCCATCGGGGCCGCCGTATTTCTTGTACTCGGCTGTCTCCTGCTGATAGGCCAGCTGCAGCTGCGCATCGAGCAGCTCCTGGTCAACCTCCTCTTCCTTCTCGGCGGTATCCTCCTCTTCGGACTCTTCCTCACTTTGTTCTAAAGAAAGATGTACACTGTTAAGATATATTTAAGGATTAAAGAGTAACCCCAGAGAACTTACCATGAGTCTCGATTAGAGAGGGATCGTGGAGAGCCTTCTCCTCGGGCGGGATGTACGAGTCGCGCTTGGAGTCGACGAACGGAGAGAGATGCGGCGGAAGTGACTCGCCGAGGAAGTAGTCGTTGGTGGGCAAAAGCTGGCGCTGATTGACACAGTCGAAGAGCCACTGGGGCTGAATGTAGTCCCTGGAGATGTACTGTGTGCTCAGGCTGGGTCTGTCCACGATCTGGTGGGTAATCGTCTCGTCGTTCTCTGCGAAGGTGGCGCCGGCGAAGACGGACGCGTCCCAGGAGACCTTGCCGCCAAACGAGCGAATGAGGATGACGAGAGGCTCACGGGGAACCTCACGATTTATGAAGAACTTCAGACCCTTGAAGAGGGTGCGCAGGCGAGATATTTCCTGTGCCTCCTGCTTCATTTTGATGATGCGCTTGGAGTCGCCGTCCTGCTCCAGCAGCTCCATGTCAATGTCGGGCTCCTCCTCGTCCTCCTGCACCTTGTCTGTGCGCAGCAGCTCAAAGTTCAGTGCCGCAATGCGGTCCGACACGAAGGTGGACTCGTCCTTAAATGTGTCTGCGCTGTCTTGCAGCAGGGTGGAGGGAAATTGAGGTGGATAGGCCAGGTTGAGGCCGTGGAAGAGACGGAAGTTGGTGAAGCCCAACAGAATTGTGTAGAACTCCACGAAAATGGACATGACCTTAAAGTCAACCTCCTGGCGCGACTGCGGCTTGAAGGGGTAGTAGTGGGGCACGATCCAAGTGACCTTCTGGCCCTTGATCTCGGCCTGGAAGTAGTATCCCTTGATGGAGATAAATACCTTGCGCAGCGACTTGGAGGCGATTACATAGTGCAGGAATTCGATGGTCAACCGCCGGCACAGGTTCGACTGCTCGCGGGGAATCAAATGCAGCGAGGGGAAAGTGCTGAACAGGAAGAGCAGGGTCAGGCAATCGTCGAGGTCCTTGAGCGCGTCTATGAAGGTCGGATAACGTTCCTTGACAATGTGATCGAGCTTGATTTCGGGGAACAGTTCCATTCTGCGCTTCAGGTTGCGGAAATCTTTGATGGCGCGGTCGCGGCTGCTTTTCTTGGCAAAGATCTGAAAGAGGAGAACTATTCAAGACTCCGCTGGCAGAACAGGCCATTCCACGCTCCACTTACCTTGTAGTCGCGCAGGGTCCACACAATAGACTCGTGGAGCAGGAACCGGATGTCCTTGGTGTGGTACAGGATCTTGATCTCCGATGAGCCCTTCTGGGCGCGG